TTCTCAAAATAGTCAAGGAAAATGATGCATTGAAGAAGGAATTACAAGACATCAGGCCTGTCGAGGAGATACAGTAAGAAATCAATAGGCTCACAAGACAATTGGAAAGGAAGGTGAATGAACTAGCTAGGGTAAGAGGAAGTACAGCTGAGACAGCACAGAACTTTGTTCAGAGGCTTAATCAACAGAATGAAGTCTTAGAGGAGTAGAAATCACTTTGCCTTGATCAAACAGAAGAAACTAAAGAATGGATGTTGAAATGTAGGCAGATAATTGATTTGGCTAACGACAAAATTCCATAATTTGTAAGAGCATTTAAGCAAGCTGAAGGCATGGTTCTCCTGGAAGGAACTCCATCAGAGATTGTTGAATTCTTCCATTTGTGCCATGAAATTGTAAAAGAACTCAATAGCGTGATAAAGTTGTAAACCTGTATTAAGATTTAAATCATTGTATGAGGATCCATATGACGCTTTGTGGTTGTGAAATTATTGATTCATTTGTACTACCATCATTTGCTTAAAACCTTGAATTTTGATGGGATCCAATGTCCTTCTAATTCAATGGTCAACTTTAAATTCCCTATGAAATAATAAATTTCTAGAGGAATTTAAAGGGTGCTAGTGTCATGAAACCCTTATGTTTACACAATGCTAGATATCTTATAAAACAAATGTAAAGGTAAAACTTATTAAAATTAATTATTATGTTACATAGGTAAGCCAACATTGTGCCTTGAAAGAAAAACTCAGCTGACCAGATTCTCGCCACTCGAACATACAACACGCGATCACGTAGTCGTGCAATGGAAAATTCAAATGTGAATGAGTCAGCGGCCTTAAATGATCGGATGTCTGCCGTAGAGTCTAAAATGGCTGAAATAAGCGACATGATGAAACTGCTAACAGAGACTCTAAAAGGAAGGAGTGATGATAATCCACCACAGAATACCGTAGCAAATGAGAATGCAGCTAACAGAACAATTGAGCCAAATAGAGGACTAGATCCTAAGGTACCCACACTAAAGAAACAAGATTCTGGGATAGGGGCCTTTAACATACCAGATGGTCCTGGGGAAGATCATGCCTACATGTTTCAAATCCCACAAGTGTTACACAAAGAGAAGGAGTTGAAAGAAGAACTTGGAGAAATGAAAGATCAATTGAAGGCTCTTTAAGGATCAAACATGTAGGGTTCCTTAGACTTGAAAGAATTATGCTTGACCCTAGAAATTGATGTTCCTAAGAAATTCAAGATGCCAAACTTTGATAAATATAATGGTACAAGTAACCCAATTTATCATTTGAGGGCCTATTGCACAAAGATGTCCATATGGTCACAAGATGAGAAGTTTTTGATAAACTTCTTTCTCAAAAGCTTAACTGGAGCCGCATTGACTTGGTACATGCAACTAGACCAAACTAAGATTAAAAGATGGAAAGACCTTGTGGATGTTTTCATGAGACAATACAAGATCAATCTTGATACTGCTCCGACTAGAGAACAATTGAAAGCGATAACCAAGAAATCATCAGAATCATTCAAAGAATATGCTCAAAGATGGAGAATAGTGGCTTCACAAGTGCAACCTCCAATGGTGAATTCCAAACTTTACTCGTACTTTATCCGTACATTGCCTAAGCCATTTTACCAACACATGATAGGAACACATGTCACTAATTTTGCTAATTTAATGGTAATTGGAGAAAGGATTGACACAGACATACGAGAGGGGAAGATAGCCACTTCTCAAGCTGAAAGTAGTTCACGAAAGAACTATGACCAAAAAAAGAAAGAAGGGAATGTGAACTATATTCAACCTATAAGACAAGCAGCTACCAGTTCTCAAGTCCCTTATCAAATAAAGGGAAGGAATCAAAGACAGCAACAATTTGGGTTCAGGCCTAACAAGCATGGGCAGGATGGAGAGAGGAGAAATATCCAATCCAGGGACAGTCGCCCATAACCCAATTTTAGATTAACAAATGCTAAATTGTACCATAAACTTTTGGCAGCCCAATTATTAGGTCCACGACCTTATAAGCTTCTTGGCCCGCCTTACCCAGCATGGTATAATCCAAATGCTGTTTGTGAATACCATATGAGTGCACCTGGACACTCAATAGAAGACCGTGTGACGTTTAAAAGGAATGTACTAGACCTGGTTGATTCTAATCATATCCAGCTTAAAGAAGAGGGAAGCTCTACCATTACTGCTGATCCACTTCCAAATCATGAAAAACGAGTCAACGCTATTGAAGAAGAGGATACGTGTTTCAAAAGCTTTACAAGGATCAAGATGCCTATGAACGAGCTATATGCTCACTTAAAGGAGTGTGGCTATATGTAAGAAATACTCTTCACAGATAAAATCAATGATCAAATGCCTAGATACTATGAATATCATCAGGAGAAAATAGGCCATGACATAGAAAGTTGTGAACAGTTTAAAGAAGCTGTTAGAAAAATAATGGTGTTAGGGATTATGTCTGTAAAGAAGGGAGACACTAAAGTGTGCATGGTAGATAAAAAGTGTATTGAGCTTGTCATTAATTCAAGCCCAAAAGAGCAAGTCCAGGCAGTCTCTTTTGTGATCAATAAATCCTCTGTAGATCTTACACCTTATGCAAGACAACCAACATTGACCATAAGCACGCCTCATCCCTTTCCCTATGAAAGTGATCGAGCAGTCCCGTGAAGATATCAAAGCATTATGGAGAACCACAAAAACCCAACGTTAACTGCTGGGACAAGCAATGAAATGGCAAACCTAGGGGTTGTTACTCGAAGTGGAAAACCATATTTAGCATCTTACATTAGGAAAATGGTAAAAGAGAAAAATGAAAATGATGACATGCCAAGGGAAGATAATCCTAAAGAAATGAAAAAATTAGAAGATGAGTTTTTCTCAATCATGAAGCAAAGTGATTACAGCGTTGTGGACCAATTGAAGAAAACTCCGGTGCGTATCTCAATACTTTCTTTGATTTTAAATTCCGAAGCACATCGCCAAGCATTGCAAGAAGTATTGAATTAAGCTTTTATGCAACCCAATATAACCCCTGAGAAGGTGGCAAGTGTAATGAATGTTGTAAAAGCCTTCTCTACCATTTCCTTTTCGGAAGAGGAAGTTACAGAAACTACTATCCATCAAACTAAGGCTTTGCATATCACTTTAAAATGTGAAGGGTTCATAATCGCAAGAGTATTGATTGATGGAGGATCAGCATTAAATGTTTTGCCACTCTCCACATTTGAATCATTATCACTAGAAGCTTCAAGTGTACACAAAAGTAATATTGTGGTAAGAGCATTCGATAGATCAAGACGGCAAGTATTAGGATCCGTTTGTCTCTCCCTGGAGATAGGACCAAGCAGGTTCAAGGTGGATTTCCAACTTATGAACATAGACCCAAGCTACACAATGCTACTAGGAAGGCTATGGATTCATTTTGCTAGGGCTGTTCCTTCTACCCTACACCAAAAGGTTAAGTTCATTAGCGATGGGGGAATTATAGCAGTTAAAGGAGAGGAGGAAATTATGGTGAGCAAACCAAGCTCACTCCCTTATATTGAGGCCGCAGAGAAAGATCATGGAGTTTCCTTTTAAAGCTTAGAGATTTGGGGGTATTTGTGACAGTACTCATAACATCAATTCTGTTGTGGCTAAAATCATGATGAAGAGTGGGTTTATGCTAGGGAAAGGTTTAGGCTCTCATTTACAAGGAATTATGTGTCCAATTAAGGTTTTAGATAATTGTAATCACCAAGGGTTAGGGTATGAGCCTACCCTAGAAGACCAGATGAAAGACAAAGCAAGTTTAGCGAAAGGCAAAAAGACTAATAAATTAGAGATTCCACACATCAAAGAATCCTTCCCATGCCCATCCAAGGTGATATGTGAACCAACTGTCTTAGTGATCTCTTCTAACGAAGATGTAGCATGTGGAACAAGTGCCTCAATTGCAATTGATGATTCTAGCGAAGTTCTGGCAAATTAGGAGTTCGAAGAGGCCAATGATGTCATTAGCTTAGAGTAATTGTTTCAATTATGTTGTTCCTATTTTGTTATCCACTTTTGCACCCAGGTTTAGGTAATAGATCTTGGGTATTCTCTAATGCAAACTTTTGACGCACGTAATTTATGAAAATAAATTTCAATTGCATTTATGTTTATCTCTTTATTCCACCCTATCTACTTCAATACATTTTTTCCCCATTCCATTCCTGTTCCTTATTTTTATCTCATTCCATATTCATCATCCAGGGATTTTGTTTCTTCTGATTCCATCTCTTACCCAGAGGTTAATAAACCCTTTGAAGATGATTCACTCGTTTGCACTGATATGCATGATTGTGAGTCTGATGATAAAGACGTAATCCAAACTTTTTCTAAGATGCTTGAATTGAGTGATAAGGGAATATGCCCACATGAAGAAGTGATTGAGATGGTTAATATGGGAACCGAGGAGGATCAAAGAATTCTCAAAATAGTAGATAATCTTGAAAGGGAATAAATGATTGAGTTGTTCAAAGAATACATAGATGTGTTTGCATGGTCTTATAAAGATATGCCTGGGCTAGACCTAAGCATTGCTTCTCATAAAATACCATTACTTCCTAAGGTTGAGCCTAAGAAACAGAAGTTAAGGAGAATGAATATAGGGGTGTCCTTGCAAATAAAAGAAGAAGTAATAATGCAGTTAGAAGCGGGATTTTTGAAAGTAGTAACTTACCCATAATGGGTGGCAAATATTATTCCTGTTCCTAAAAAAGATGGTCGAATTCGAATGTGTGTTGATTATTGTAATTTAAACAATGCGAGCCTGAAAGATGATTTTCCATTACCCCACATTAATGTATTGGTCGATAATACTGCTTGAAGCTATCGCTATTCCTTTATGGATGGTTATTCAGGGTACAATCAAATCCCTATGCATGAAAGAGATAAAGAGAAAACAACCTTTACAACCCAATGGGGAACTTATTGTTACCGGGTGATGCCTTTTAGTTTGAAAAATGCTGGGGCAACTTATCAACGAGCTATGGTAGCATTATTCCATGACATGATGCATAAAGAAATTGAAGTATATGTAGATGATATGGTAGCTAAATCAACAGAGAATGAGAGTCATGTTGGAGTCCTTAAAAAGCTATTTGTGAGATTACGCGAATATCGGCTAAGATTGAATCCTAACAAATGCATCTTTAGAGCTCTTTTTGGGAAGTTATTGGGATTCATTGTGAGTCGTAAAGGGATAGAAGTAGATTTAGATAAAGTGAGGGCAATTCAAGAAATGCCATCTCCCTAAACAAAGAAAGAAGTTAGAAGTTTCTTAGAACGATTGAATTACATTGCTAAATTCATTGCCAATCTAACAGCTACTTGCGAACTGATGTTTAAGCTGTTAAAGAAAAACTGCAAGGAGACATGGGATGATGATTGTCAAAAGGCCTTTGATAAAATTAAAGATTATTTGTTAAATCCCCCAATTTCGGTCCCTCCATCACTAGGTCGTCCACTAATCCTTTACTTGGCAACTTTACCTCGCTCAATGGGAGCAATGCTAGGCCAATGTATGATTCTGGAAAGAAGGAAAGAGCAATTTATTTCTTGAGCAAGAAGTTCAATGATTGTGAAGCTCGTTATCCAATGATTGAGTGAACTTGTTGTGGACTAGTATGGGCAACCAGAAGGCTAAGGCAGTACATGCTTTACTACACTACCTGGCTAATCTTGTGAGTGGACCCACTCAAGTACATCTTTGAGAGCCTGCATATTGCAGGTAGAGTACTAAAATGGCAAGTTGTACTATCTGAATATGATATAAAGCATGTAATGCAAAAGTCAATCAAAGGTAGTGCGATAGCATATCACTTGGCCGATAATCCTTTAAAGGATGACCAGCCATTAGATTTTCAATTTCTTGATGAAAGTATATACCCTACAGAAGAAGGTTGTGATGAAGGAAATGATAAAGAGCAAGAATGGGAAATGTATTTTGATGGAGCCACCAACATGCATGGAAATAGGGTAGGAGCGGTAATTGTTTCACCAGAAGGAAAACAATTTCCAGTGGCCATCAAATTGGAATTTGATTGTACTAACAATATAGCAGAATATAAAGCTTATGTTAATGGTCTTCGAGCAGCTATTACCCTTGATATACAGTGTTTGAAGGTATTTAGTAATTCAGCACTCATTATTCATCAAGTAACTGGAGAATGGAGAACAAAGGATGTAAAATTGATTCCTTATCAAGAACTCCTAACAGATTTGATTAAGCAATTTAAGGTTGTTAGCTTTCATCACTTGACTCGAGATAAAAACCGTTTCGCTGATGCTTTAGCCACTTTAGCAGCAATGATCCAACTTGATTGTAGAGTCCATGTCCAACCCATTCAAGTAGAAGCTAGAAGCTTTCCAGCATACTGTCTGAATGTTGAAGAAGATCAAGAAGAATATCCTTGGTTCGATGATATTAAGGACTATATCACTAAGAGATCATACCCAACTGGAATGACTGAGAATGAAAAGAAAACCCTTCATCATTTGGCTATGACATTCTTTATCAGTAAAGATGTTCTATACAAGAAGGGTTATGATGGTACTTCGTTGTGTGAGTTTAGAAGAAGCAAAGAAAATCATGATTGAAGTACACGAAGGCATATGTGGCACGCATACGAATGGTCACACTATGGCCAAATAGATTCAAAGGTGTGGCTACTTATGGTTAACAATAGAAAAAGATTGCTTTGAGCATATCAAGAAATGCCACAAATGTCAGATCTATGCTAATAGGATAAATGCTCCTCTAATCCTATTACATAATTTGGTATCACCCTGGCCATTCTCAATGTGGGGAATTGATATTATTGGTCCAATTAACCCAAAAGCTTTAAATGGACATCGCTTAATCCTCGTCGCGATTGACTATTTCACAAAATGGGTAGAAGCAAATTCATTTGCTAGCATCACGCAAAAGACGTTCCTTAAATTCATGAAGATAAATATTTTATGCCGATATGGGATTCCTTAAAGGATCATTACTAATAATGGTCCCAATCTCAATGGAATAGAAGTTCGAAACTTTTGTGAGAAATTCCAAATCAAGCATCATAATTCAGCCCCATATAGACCCCAAATGAATGGGGCAATTGAAGTAGCCAATAAAAATATTAAAAAGATTATTGGAAAAGTGACAGTAACATATAAGGATTGGCATGAGATGTTTCCCTATGCTCTACATGGTTATCGTACTACCGTACGCACATCCATAGGGGTAACCCCATATTCCCTTGTTTACGGAATGGAAGCTGTCACACCTATTGAGATGGAAATTCCATCCTTGAGAGTATTGGCTGAGGTAGATTTAAAGGAAAATGAATGGGCACAAACCTGATTTGAGCAACTCAACATGATTGAAGAAAAAAGGCTTACTGCAATATGTCATGGACAATTGTACCAAAAAAGAATGGCAAGAGCATTTAATAAAAAACTTCGCCCATGAGAATTCAGTGCTGGTGATCTAGTACTTAACAAAATATTCCCTCACCAAGAAGATAATAGAGGCAAATGGGCTTCGACCTATGAAGGACCTTATGTTGTCAAACATGCCTTTTCTGGAGGAGCACTGATCCTAGCTGACATGGACAATCAAGAGTTAGTAAAGCCCATTAATGTGGATGCTATCAAGCGTTACTTTGCTTAAACAGAAAATGAAAAAGAATAGCTCATTAGGTTGAAAACCTGTAAAGGCAACCTAAGCAAAAGTTAGAGCAAAGAACAAGCAAAGCAATGATAAGAAGAAGAAGAGTTCACCAAGACAAAAGGATGTCTTAGGAGAAGAAAGGAAGGCATAAGAAGTGAAGTATCTATGATTGGGAAAGTTGACTCCATTGTCCCTCATACTATGCATATCAATGGCAGCTCAGTGAAGCACTTGTTGGGGTTTTGAAAAGCCAAAGGAGAGATGTGATTAAGCAGATCCACATATCCTATTTGCGCTTAGGCCATTTATACTCATAAACCAAGATATTCCCATTCCTCTATGAATTTTGGCATTAGAGAATGAATTTTCCACCCCTGCTCCTTTGAGACCATCTTTCTCCTCTTTTCATGTTATCATATTCAAATTCATATCCCATATATTACAATAAGTTCACATTCAAGGAACAGTAGTTATTGATACATTTACTTGACGTAAAATGCTGGTATCTTTATTCTTACTTTTGGCCTTTGAGGTATCAAGATCATTGCGTAGGTATAAAATGATAATAAGAGCATGTGTGCTATCAGTATTCGGTCATAATAGTTGATCTCATTAACTTGAAGGCAAGATCAAGCGACAAGAATTTGGTCATTTGAATTTTCTAAAGAGGGGCAACGGCATACTGTGATACTACACCTATTAATGAATAAAGGTTAAATAATGGACTTGGAGGTATTACCTTATGTTCGAAATGATTTATTCAATATGCACAAAAATTTTCAAAAAGGAATAAATATTAAGATAGTTGTCAATATCAAGCCTTCTAATAAAATTTTTTTCAATACATTTGCATTATTCATGCATTTGCATTGGGGCAAATAAGCGTGTCTTACCCTTTACATATATTGCAAAAAGAAGTCTCATAAATTGAGACAAACAAAGGTTCTAACTTTTTTACATTGCGATTCATTTGTCCATGGTGTATTGTACATATTTTTAGCACCTATGAAAAAATCATACATGGTGCATTACTACATTGCATTCCTCGTCATAGAAATATGCCTCATTCAGATTGGGTCAAAGAAAAATAAAAAAAAAAACTTGAGGAAGTAAGAGAAGAAATAACAAACCTCACCTATGAATTTCTCATATTTTCCATGTGAGACACAACCTATTCTCACATCCCCAAAGCCCTGTCACGGCAAGCACCTCAAAGCCCAGTACCGACTGGCACGATTCTTTAAAAGCCCTGTAACAGCAGGCACCCCAAAGCCCTGTCATGACAGCCACCTCAAAGCCCAGTACTGGTGGCACGATTCTTTGAAAGCCCTGTAACAGTAGGCACCCTAAAGCCCTGTCACAGTAGGAACCTCAAAGCCTAGTACCAACTGGTACGATTCTTTAAAAGCCTTATAATGACAGGCACCCTAAAGCCCTATCACGGCAGGCACCTCAAAGCCCAGTACCGGCTGGCACGATTCTTTAAAAGCCTTATAACAGCAGGTACCCCAAAGGCCTGTCATGACAGGCACCTCAAAGCCCAGTACCAGCTAGCACGATTCTTTAAAAGCCCTGTAACGGCAGGCACCCCAAAGCCCTATCACGACAGGTACCTCAAAGCCTAGTACTGGCTGGCACGATTATTTTAAAACCTTATAACGACAGGCACCCCAAAGCCCTATCACAGCAGACATCTTAAAGCCAAGTACTGGCTGGCACAATTCTTTAAAAGCCCTGTAATGGCAAGCACCCCAAAGCCCTATCACGGCAGGCACCTCAAAGCCCAGTACCGGCTGGCACGATTCTTTAAAAGCCCTGTAACGGCAGGCACCCCAAAGCCCTGTCACGACAGGCGCCTTAAAGCCCAATACTGGCTGGCACGATTCTTTAAAAGCCCTGTAACTACAAGCACCCCAAAGCCCTATCACGACAGGCACCTCAAAGCCCAGTACAGACTGGCACGATTCTTTAAAAGCCCTGTCACAACAGGCACATCAAAGCCCAGTACTGGCTAGCACAATTCTTTAAAAGCCTTGTAATGGCAAGCACCCCAAAGCCCTGTCACGATAGGCACCTCAAAGCCCAGTACCGGCTGGCACGATTCTTTAAAAGCCTTGTAACAGTAGGCACCCCAAAGCCCTGTCACAACAGGCACCTCAAAGCCTAATACTGGCTGGCACGATTCATTAAAAGCCCTATCACGACAGGCACCTCAAAGCCTAGTACCGGTTGGCACGATTCTTTAAAAGCCCTGTAACAGCAGGCACCCCAAAGCCCTGTCACGACAGGCACCCTCCAAGCCTTGTAAAAGCAAGCATCCACCAGATTCTTTAGAACATAAGCAATTCATCCCCATTGAGGTTTTGTTTTGTTTATTCCCTAAATTACATTTCATTTTAAACTCTGTTTTATTTCATTTTGTCACATTTTTTTTGTTGTTGTTTTGTTTCGTTGTAGGTACCTAAGAGTCTTGCCCCTCTAAACAAAATACATGTTTCTCTCTTCATTCATTTCTAAGCTAAGAATATCTTCTCATGAAATTCTCACTTAGAAATCAAATGAAGAGGGGGCATCTAGTCAACATATATTTTGTTTGGATCCTTGTCATTTAGTCATTTTCATTCATGTCACATTGCAAAAAAAAATCATTTTACTGTGTTTTGTTAAACAATAGTCTTGGATTTAATCATATCTTGTCGTGTCAGGGGCAATTAGGTCTTTTCTTAGGTATTGCATAGCTGACCAAAATACATGTTCTATCTTTACTTGTCACTTATGTAAAAATTCAAAAACACACTGTTTCATATACTTACATAAGAAACAACTAAAGAGGGGCAACTGTGAACACCGTATTTCATCCAGACTCTTTTTTTAATAATAATAATCAAAAAAATATAATACATACAAAAATAAAATTTAATCCTTTTTTTAGGATTATATTTTCAAAAAAGAATTCAAAGATATTGGGAATCAATCTTTGAGACTCAACTATTTTTAAATTTTTTTCCTTAAATCTTTTATTTTTCATTTAAAAATATATGTTTTAAAATTATACTTTTCTTTCTCCCCCTCAATCTAATTAATAAAAAAAAGGGGGCATTAAAGAATAAAAAAAAAGAAAAAGAAGAAGAAGGAACAGGTACATGCAGCATCAGGGCTCATGAAATACACGTACACACATACACTTTCGGCCATGCAGTAGAAAAAGAAGAAAATAGCAGAAACAAACACGCACACGAGAAAGTAGAAAGAACACACACAAAAAAACAAGCAGAGACGCAAAATGAAAAGAAATAGAAACATGCATGCACACGAGCAAAAATACAGAAGAAGTAGAAACACGAAAACACAGATTGCAGAAAAAAGCTTCACAGAAAAAAAAATGCAGTAAGCAACCAGAACACATATACATATACTTTTCTGCCAGCAGAAGGAAAAAAACAGAGCCAGAGACGCAAAACTAGATATGCACGTTACAGCACATGAAAAGAAAAACAGAAAAAGTGCACGCAAACACAAAAGGAGATATAGCAGCGAGCACACGCAAAAACACCGTAGCAGAAAAAAAGCAAAACACAGCCACGCACGACGAAAAAAACGCAGCAAAATAGAGACAAAGATTAGAAGCTGAAAGAGAGGCTGAGAGAGGAAGAGATTGAGACAAAAAGAGAGGAAAACTGGAGGAAGGAGGCCGAGAATGAGCAGAGAGGAGAAAACAGGAATGTTTCAGCGTGAGAGAAGAGCGAGACTGAACGAATAAAAACAGAGACCGATAGAAGGAAGCTGGATGAAGAACAGACGCAGCAAGGAAGAGAAAAAAAGAGTGAGAGCCTTTTTTTGGAAAAACAGAGCCTGAGTAAACCGAGAGGGGAAGCTTTTCCTTCTTGAGCGTGTTTGCTGAAAAAACCGAGAAGAGAGGAGGAGGAGAGCATCACAAGAGACA